GGGAAAAAAAAAAAGGTATACAAATGCTGATTGATATACTTTAGCACTAAATGACCTATGACTGTCATCCTTACCCATCAAATACTTTCTTCCACAATATTGCAGCCTACGACAATTAAGTTTCCATCCGAAGACCAATCTGCAATGACAAGACGTACCTAGCTTTGACCGAAGACCATACGACGAGCGGGAAATTGGGAGACCACGGGGAAGGGATCAAACGACTTTCTGAGAAACGGCATTCGACATTGGAATCTTCTGTTCTTTTTTCTCTTTCACCCTTGTTGGCTTTCAAGCCAGCGAGTCAATCTATTACACTCATTTCCATGTATCCCCCCCAAATGACTTGGTTTAGACAAGCCTTTACAGTTACCACAGCCAGAGAATCGAGTCACCATACGCAGGCCTGCAAAGCTCTTCCTTGTTTTATTTTTTGCTTTATCTTCTACTAATTCCGCGGAGGACGTTGAAATAAGCAATGTAGTTGACCGTCCGTGTGTAACGCTAGGCTTTGCATTCATCCTGATGCAAACGACATGCATGTAATTTTCTAGTCTCTAGTAATGAACGGTACCAATCTCTAAATCCAGTAATTTGAAATATTTATTCAGATGCGAGCCATTGAGTCCCAAATCGACATGGCGGGGAGTAGTCAATCATAGCTCATCCTTTCCACTGCTTCCCTGGCTGTCCTTGCCAGCTACAGGAGACTCACAAGCAGCTGGAGTAGTGGCGAACATCGAATATACACACTTCTCGTCCTCTGTAATCTTGGTGAGTTCGTTGTTCTCGCCACACTCCAGAATCACAGTCGTCGAGCGCGCAGGTCCGTTCCAGCATGTCTGGCCATTAGTATACAAAAGAGTAACCTTGGTCTTCTGAACAATCTGGCCGGACGGAGTGGCCTCGTCCACAACAATAGATGAGATCTTCTCAAACCTTCCCATAGTGGTGTCGGCGCGTCCCTTCCTGGATTTCTGCTTGGTCTGCTCCATCCAGCAGAGTTCGTAAGTGTACTCTCCTGAATCCTGAGAAACGCATTCCCCCTTGAGTGCTCTGAAGACGGAATCAACTCCAAAATCTTCTTTGAGGTCGCGCTTGAGATCCTGAATCTCAGATTTTTTCAAGTTGAGAGAAGCCTCTGCACCGTTTACTTTGTCTTTAGCATCTCTTACTTCCTGTGGCTCATCTGAGCCGTCATCCATTGAGCTGTCCGCGAGTAGACCATTCGAGACTAATGCGGACCGGAAGCTAACAAGACCATCTTCAATGGCATTTGCAATGCCGGCAGGCAAGAAAGATGCCAGCTTGTGCACTATAATATCATAACAACGTCAGAAACATCTTTCCCCCTCCCTGCCCCTTCACCAACGGGAGCCTAGTGGTCTGGAATATATGGACTTACCTAATCCAGGTTCAGCTTCTTCTGCCCACTGCTCGGGGTTGCCGAACGGCTCATCATGTTCAGGTTTAAGCGCATCGAGCAGGGCATCATCTCCAAACGAGTCACTGCCATGTTCTCCCTTTCGGGCAACGTAGTCTTCCCAGCTACGAACGGCGCGTTTGACACCCTCGTCATTAAAGTTAGGGTTGTACTCTTCCTTAAACTTAGACAGAATTCCCTCGGCTTCCCGCAGGAGATTTACCACCTGGTCTCTCTGCAGATGCACCTCCTCTAGTACAGTGCGAAGGGTGTCAGTCCTGGCCTTTGCAAGCTGTGCCAGTTCATAAGCCTTTCCTTGCCTCTGGCCACTGGCTGTCTTCCCCCTATTCCTTGCTCTGGCTGTTTCCAGCTGTGCTTCGAGGTCCACAAGGGAACCTTCAAGATCTTGAGCTTCCTTCTCAAGGGCCAAAATGCGGTCCTGCATTTCCTTTTCCGTCTTGGATGCCTGTGCCGCTAATTCCTTGCGTTTGCGTAAGGCTGCAGAGTATGACTTTTCCTTTTCTTCCTCAGTCTTCTTCCATTGCTTTCCAATCTCTTTGCATCTGTCCTCACATTTTAGTCCACCAACGTGGGCCCACTCATCGCTGCCGTCGCAGCATATATCGTAATCACACACGCCATCGTTTACTCGCTGAAAGCTAAGGTATAGAGGCATGTGTCCCTTATTCTTGCAGTAAAATCCAGGGAGTGATAGCTTGTTATTCGTCCTATCGTTCCCGGGGTTCGAAGAGTATGATGGCGAGTAAGGAGATATAAACGAGCATGCTGATGTACCAGGTTCATCACTCCCATCTGGACAGTCACAATATTCGTCATTGACGGCGGAAAATGGTATCTTGATGGAGGGGTTAGAAATGCAGCTAAAGCTGTTGGCGTCCTTGTAGAACTTGGCAACTAAATGGTGTACAAACGTCCAGTTAGCCCAATTGCATTAAATATGAGAACGTCATGAAGGGAAGCTGGGAATAGTGGTAGTTACATTCAGGTCCTACTCCCCTCGGACGGGGTCCTTTGTCGCCTGCGGCTACACATAGCGTAGGACCCACGACCGCTGTAAACAAGAGCAAAAGGGAGCCTCGATTCATGGTGAGCGCATTGGGCCACGTCTTAAGTGCAGATAGGCAGTCTACAAAACTTCGCTCAACAAAGAGTTATCGAAATGCCGCCAGGGCGGGTTGTTGGAAGAATGAACCTGCAGCGAGTTTGATAGCGGACAAGTTGGCATGTCTGAAGCTTCCTCCACCGCGGAGCTCGAGACCGTCACGTGGCCAAGCGGCGACCTCGGGGGTCAAAACCTCCAGCTTTAAAGATAAGATCAGGAAAACTTACCCACGTAGAATAGAACGTCAACCCTTTGAACGAACCCACGGACTACAGTTGAATACCTGTCAAGATGGGTAATGATGGTGGAAGGTAAGAAACGCTTGTACGCAGTTTGAAGAGTGCCCGTCTAACTTTATGCCCTGCAGCATCCCTACTCGCCGAGAGCTGGTGAAAGAAGCTGCGCGGAACCCAAATACCACCCAGCTGAAGGAGACACTCCGTGAACACCTCGAACACTTCTGGACTACATGCCCTATATCCCATAAGAAGCTTCTCTCGCCTGTGGTGTCAGACGCTGTCGGAAATCTCTACAACAAAGACGCCATCTTACAATATCTTCTTCCTGGTGACGATAGTGAAGCCATAAGCGCAAAGGCCGACTGTGACGAAGTGCTGCAAGGAAGAGTCAAATCGCTACGTGACGTTGTTGAGCTCAAATTTGACGTTGATGGGAACCCCGATGTACCGAATGGAGGACGGAAAGGCCGCTGGATCTGCCCTGTCACTCAAAAAGAACTTGGCCCAAGTGTGAAGTCAGTGTATCTTGTCCCTTGTGGACATGTCTTCTCTGAGGGAGCCATTCGTGAAATGAAGTCGGATAAGTGCTTACAAGTGGGTGCAACCTTATCCTGCGGCACCTATTGACTCTTTACTAATGAATATATGCACAGTGTAATGAGCCATACGAACCTTCGAATGTTATTCCAATTCTTCCAACTCAGGAATCAGAGAAAGAGCGGCTAAAATCGCGGGTAGAGGACTTATCCCGGCAAGGCCTTGCCCATTCATTAAAGAAGCTTTCTGGCTCGAGCAAAAAGCGAAAAAAGAACCGCACCGATATGAACGGTGATGTCGAGGATGGTTCCAAAGCCGAGTCCGCAACGAATGGAAAGGTTAAAAATGACAGCAAGACACCTACTCCATCCTCCACTCCCGCACCAGTCGGTATCAAGAACGCTGGAACAGCTATATTGACTGCCAAAGTGCTCGAGGAACAAAACGAACGTCGCAAACGTGCAAAAACGGAACGAAGTGATGCTGTCCAGTCCCTATTCACATCCAAAAACAAGAAGGAGAATGGTAAAAACGTCGACTTTATGACCAGGGGCTACTCTATTTCACGTTAGTCCACGTGCAGATGTGGAATACAAGCCACAAATCACCCAGGAACAATTTCGAGACTTTCCAAATCTCGTCACACCAAGAGGAGCATCAAGAATGCAACTTCTGCATCGCTACACAGGCCATTCATGGCAATATTTTCGCTCGGAGCAGAAAAATCTCCCGGCTTCTGGGCGTCCCAATCTTCAGTAAATCCAGAGAAACCCGGCCTCGGCTGCCGGTTAAGCACCAGGTCCAGGATGAGCTTAATCGGCGAAGCGCATGACCATTTCCTTGAGATACCATTAGGAGAGCTATCTGAAAAATTGTGATAAGCAATGTTTCAACCGAGCCTTGACATCACGCAGATCACCAGCTTTATTTATTCGCATTTGTCCAGTGGATAAATCGAGATAAAAGTTTGGCACAGCTACTAGATACCTTGACTGATTTGTTTGGAATTTTAAACATCGGAGGACTATCCATAATGAAGCTTGCACATTGGCCCAAAGGATGAATAACTTATGTACACCCAATAGGAATTACGTACTGTGTTCCCCTCAATAGCGTACATTATATGAAGAAAAGACGAAAGTCAGTAATTGATTGCAGTACACTATCACATCCTTAACATAAAATACATTTATTCTAAAATTAATCCGCGTTGACGAAGAAAAAAGGTCCTATTTTACATGCAATATCAAACTGCTGCCAAAGATTGCTCCAGGAGGCCCGACATTCACTTGTCCCAAATATATAATAGTCATGCAACTTTGCGGCCTGTGATTGGAAGTCCTCTTTTCGTAAGTTCTTCCTCAATGACTTTCCATTGACCTGTTTCGATTTCGCTGTCAATGGGGGTTTGTCTTCTGTCATAGATCTTGACATTAGGGATACCATCGAAGGTTCCCTCAACAATAAGCTGCTCCGCAAGCTTCGTAGGTTTGGGGGTCGAAGCGCGGATAAGGAAGTCTTGCACGGAAGATACGCTGGATATGGATGCAAGCTCCTGGTCCGGAATGAAGTGGCCGGTCAACTGGCTAACTCTTTTCAAGTACTGAAACATCATTATGTTAGTAAGAGCAATAGGATAGTCATTCTATGGAAACCTACCGCAAACTTCATGTCTGGGGACATGAGAGAAATGTTCAGGAACTCTGTGCTAGCTGGAGGGCTAAGCTCGAATGATGAGGTTTCAGATACTACTTCGGAGTTGGCATCCATCTCGGGTTCTGTGGAAGGAAGTTCTTCAGAGGCAGCGGGTTCCTCAGCCGGGATGGAGTCAAATTCACGGAAGAATTCATACACCTTGGCTTTCGCATCTTCACTTGGGAATGCCAATGCAGCTCCGGATTGTTCCTTCGAGGGGACTATCTCAACTTTGTTGATTAGAGACAGAATCTGGGGCTCATGCTCGAGGATGTCGCAAGAAGCTTCCAAGGGCTTGTTAAGCTCCTTCAAGACACTCAATTCAACAAGGGCCTGATGTAAGATAGCCAGTATATCATTATTGTTCGTAATCTTTTCCCTCCGCATGAATCTGTACGCAAAAGTCCCTTTAGCCTGTGTGGATCGCAAAAAAGTCAAATATTTATAACTCACGCATCAAATTTATCCATCTCAGTAGGTGGTTTCTCCCACCATTCACCCAATGATCCGACATGCTCTAGCCCATCCCAATTAATCGCGGGAGTGTAATCTTCCACGGCCTCGGCATTCGTTTCCTCTGCCATAGCCTCGAGAGATCCTTCCGGGACTTCTTGCGATTCGTCCGCCCTGGCTTCCCTGGCTTCCCGGAGCTCACGAGCTCTTCTCTCAAGTATGCTTTCTCCTCCATAAGGGTCCTTTAAACCTGGGGGATTGTCTGTGCCCCATAGCTTTCGTCGTACCTTTTCGGTGAATGGAAGATTGCCGGACGAGTTGTATCGACGAGATGGCGTGGAGATCAGATTTCGGGCTCGTGGGAACGATTGCCAGCGACAATTCGTGCAGACATAGCGAGAACTGTTTAGTTGCGAGGGTAGAGCCTCTAATGACCGCAATAGGGACCTTGATGACGGCATTATAGCAGCTCCTTGTCTCGCAATAACTGCTTGCATTTCATCTTTGTGAATTAAATCAATCGAGAACTGAAAAGGACTTTTATGCCAAGCTCTATCACGTGAGTATATGTGGAGAAAGTTTATTTTGGTCGTGTAATAAGAGTAGAGCTTGCATCAACTACGGGATTAATTTAATCAATTCTAAGTACAAGAGCTATCCCTAACGTACAGTCTACGGCCCCAAGTTACATTAAGGCATAAAGAAACCAGGGAGCCAGCCCTCTTTGTTGTAAAGAAACCAACGCCAAACCACATAGAAAGGTCGTTGGTGAATAAGCGGAATAGGAGGGAAAAGGGGGTATCTTTGTAGCAGAAAGGCAAAAGCAAAATTCAATAAGTTCAAGAATGCAGAAACAACTGGGTTGTATCTAAACGCTTTGAATGGCCTATTCACCCAGAAATGTTGGGTGTAATGAAAAGCCAAAGGGGTGTATGTTGAGTTCTGTTGTCGGATGTACGCTAGGAATAGACGATGTGGCTATAGTGGCCAGGTTCTCTGCGCTGGCATTTGTCGCAGTCAGCTCGGAACCCCATAGCTATAGTAGGTTTTTTAGGCTGTTTTGCCATCAACGTAGCGGTATGGTTGACTGTGAGATCGGGGCGTTTCTGAAAAGAGCCAGCTTCTGGGTTTGTAGGAGGGTGTAAGGTTGGGCTATTTCCTTGTGGACCGCCGAATTTGTTGGTGGATTTCGAAGATACAGAATTGGACAGAGATGTATTTGAAGGCATGCTCGGATCATCAAGGTGGGAGCAAGGTTGGAAGGGATGTAATGTAAATTTGCCGGTGTATTTCTTCGTCTCGGCTTGAAATTCACTTATGGGACTGGGAAAGCGGGAGGCTTCGAGATGCGTGATAGCAGATGCCGGAGGGTGTAGATCACTAGTAGACGAGGAAACCACGGGTGCGTTGACAGAGGAAGACTTATGGCAAGCTTGGGTAACCACTAAACTTGTGTCTGTAAAATTGAGGGAGCTGCTAATATTACGCCTCCTGTCTCCATTACCATGGCCGGTGGGAGGCCATACAGGCAAAGTGGAGGATTCTGTAGACGCGCAGTCCATCATGTTCATGTCGGTATCAGCCTCGAGGTGTATATGGCTGCCGGAGGAGGGAAAAGTATGGGTATGTGTCTGCTGGCCATCCCAAATCTCAGCCGCGTCACTATCATTCCATTGGTCTTCCGTTGTCGCGGGAGTAAGAGGTAAGGCTGCGGTGCCCTGGGTTTGTGTTGGCTGGGATAAAGGTCGGAGGCATAGGGGTTTAACTCTCTGAATTGCAAGTTAGCAAAGAAGGTATGGGTATTAGGCCAAATGAGACTTGGTGGGCACATACTTTACGTCTTAACGTCAGCTCATCATCCTCTGAGGCTTCGTCTCCCTTTTCTTCCTCCCTGGAGCGTTTAATAGCAAGACTCTGCATGAGTATCAGCGCCCCCCGAGCCGTAGAGTCTCAAAGTACATCAAAAAAAAAAAAATCTTGTCTGTAGCCCCGGGGAATTCTGGAGCTCATCAACTAGATGGTGAAGGTTAGAGCAAAGAGACCTCAAGCAGCTCTTTCGTTTTTAACCTTGGGAAAGAGCACGGAAGCCCGTGGTAATGCAACGAGGTCTCCTACATCACAGATGAGGCTAACATCAGCTAGATATAGACTCGTCACTCTAAGCCAAATCACCTCTTTCCTGCCCAGTGAATGTTCTGCTGTTTATCAATTAAAGAAATCCAACAGACAAAAAACATCTTCAAGATCAGATAACTAACTAGCTGAAGATTGACAGGGCAAAAGGTCAGCTCAAGCTTGGCGTTGATTATATAATACCCATTGAGGAATGAAACGGCATTGAACCAACAAACGTTTTCAATATCAAAACAATCACTCTTTACTCATTAAGCAGTACAGGTCACTAAACAGCTGAGAGTACATTGCCTGAATTCTTTGGAGAAAAGTGAAAAGACTTTGTTGTGTGGCGGCTTTATGCTTTGATACCCATAAAGTACAATTACTGGAACACAATCAACGAGGAACGAGATGAAACATACTTGATATCAGATTGATAGCACCCGAAGCACTGCGCCTGGCACTTGGCAGCTGTTGGCTATGGAGGTTCCAGATAATGGCACGCCGGATCTCGCCACCGTCTTGAAAACCCTTTCTTCATTCAGCACTCCACAACCGAGCCAACCCCAGACGGCCAGTAATTCGCAGCCAACAGATCATCCTCATCTCCAAAGTTCACATAGGATACATACGCCCACTCATACGAGTTTAACTTCTTCGTCAAGTAGCCAGGAGAGTGGGTCTGGCCCTTTGAATAAGAGTTCTGCTAGTCCGTCTGTAATCACAGCATGGCCTACCGCTCTTAAATATGTGATGAAAACCGTGGCTCAGAATGAAACCGTGCAATTCAGGATTAGACGGCTGATCGCATCACAGCATGAACATGAGAAGACTTGGTGGCAAGGGAGACAGAGACTCCTAGCGAAGCAAAAAGCTCGAGCTGGAAACCAGAAGAAACTTGATGAAGTCCTGTATGAATTCCAGGTCTTTCGTCTATTTGCTTATAGAGACACGAAACTAACGTAACTGAGCTAGGCGAGCCGTGGGAGGCAAGGTCACAGATAAACCGCATGAATCTGTAAGACCCGTACGGTTGTAGTTTTATTGATATCTAAAACTGATAATGTAGCAGGCACCAGAAGAAGATGAGCTCGAGATCAAACGTTATGACGATAAGGTGTACAAGGCATCTGTGGAAATGTCCAAAGCTCTTCATTCGGAGCTCAAGGCAATGGGAATCCCTTTCTTTGCAATAAAAGAAGAGCTTATTCAGCCTGCACCGCTAGGCCCCAGCTCGAAGCCCGAAAATACAGGTAACAGCACTGAGAGATGCATTACCGCTGAGGAAGCAAAGGCACTCCAGCTTCGTATGTTGGATCTATTACAGGACCTATGCAAGGAATGACTGGTTTCTTGGAAATGCACGTATAAACCGGAGTCAACGGGGGTCTCAACTTTGGGTCTTAAGGATTGGTATTTTCGATAGCGCTCATAAATAGCTAGTTACAAAGTGCTCCGTACACCTATCGTCTCTTCTGGCCTCTCCTGATATCGGCCGTGCCCTGTCCATTTATTCGATGAAATATGAGAGATGCATGCCAACCGTTGAGGGCGGCTTCTTGGCCCGCGTATCCCTGACAAAATATCCGGTGCCGGCATGCTATTGGACCGCTTGCAGGTGGGTACGGGTGTTTCGCGGCAATTCAGCCGTGTATAAAAGGCCAGGGGTCGCGCTTTCGCTTGACTTAGATTTTTGTGTTGAAATCTCGAGCAGAGAGTGTGGAAGTTGAAGAAGACGCCTCGTAGCCTTCTACGCTGATCGAACACCCTCGATGTTTAGACGAGATGCCTCAATCCGGCGTCATTCTCCTCCACCCCAATGACGGGATTGCGACCGGCTAAGGCTCCCGATTACCAAAGAAACCAGCCGAATATGCCACGAAAAATATATGCCAACGGAAGAATACCAATTATTGCTGTTTTTCTATTTCATCTTTTCTTCCATATAGGACCAAATCTATCGCTGCCTGCGTGCTAGAGGTATAACCAGAAGCAACCCCCGAATTCAAGAAATAATTTTCAAGGCCAGAGAACGAATTTTTGTTTGACACCCTTTCCCTACGAATGATTAATTGCTCCCTAATTCCCCGAGATACCCAACGTTCCTCCATACCTATTCCTTCTTTGAACGAACTTCCCTTCTTGTACGCACAGCTTCGGCGAGCTGTTCGAGGACATCGACTGTGGTTTCCCAGTTGATACAGGCATCGGTGATACTGACACCCTTCTTGAGGCCGGACGGGCCTTCTGGAGGAACCTTCTGGTTGCCTTCAGCAATATTGGACTCAATCATGACTCCGATGATACCCTCCTCGCCCTTGCGCAACTGGTCGCCGACACACTGAGCGACCAGAGGCTGATTTCGATGGTCCTTCTTGGAGTTACCATGCGAGCAATCAACCATGAGGATCTCACGCTGTTTCTTCTTCGCTAGCTGCTCACGGGCAGCAGCAATACTCTCTGCGTCATAATTGGTGCCCTTTGTGCCACCGCGAAGGATGACGAACCCATGCTCGTTGCCTGTTGTCTTGGTGATAGCGGCCAGGCCTTGCTTGGTGACTCCTAAGAAGCGATGAGGCTTCTCTGCAGCACCAATAGCATCAATTGCAACCCCAATACTTCCGTCTGTGCCGTTCTTATACCCAATTGGGAAACTGAGACCCGAAGCTAGCTCACGATGCAGCTGGGATTCAGTGGTACGGGCACCAATGGCACCCAGAGATATCAAATCGGCCAGATACTGAGGCGAGATTGTATCCAACATCTCGCTTGCAATTGGCATACCCATACCGTTAAGATCAGCATACAGTTTTCGGGAGATGCGAAGTCCCTTATTGATGTTGTAGGATTCATCGATGTCGGGATCATTGATCAGTCCCTTCCACCCAACAGTCGTTCGAGGCTTCTCCAAGTATGCTCGCATGATGATACAGAGATCTCCCTTCAGTTTATCGGACAGTGCTTTTAGGCGTTCAGCGTACTCGAGCGCTGTAGCAGGGTCGTGAATTGAGCATGGGCCACAGACGACGAGAAGGCGGTCATCACGCTGTTCAATGACCTCAATAACCTCCTTACGGCTTGATCGGACGGTTTCTACCGCAGCGGTAGACTAATACATGCAAAAATGGCAGGTGTTAGGAAATTTGCTTGTTACCAGCGACGTGCATTGCGGGGCCGGACTTACCACTGGCACCTCCGTCTGAAGGAATTGAGGCGAGAGCAACGGATCATATCCCAACACTAAAGCTTTATATCAGCCCCTGCTTGACTGGCGATACCGATTTTACGCAGGAGAAACAGTGAACATACCTCTGCTATCATCGTTATCCTCGACTGTGGGCTTAGCGAACGGCATGGTGCTCGATGATCCTGAGACACACAATGAAGAAAATAAAGAAGCAATGGAGTAACTGTCGGGAGGTATCCAAGCTATCTACCTCAGTAAACCCTGAGGAAGGAAATCAAGAAAGAAATAAACCGGCGAGTTCGATCTTTATATCTATGAGTCAACCTTTTCGCTCTTTCTTTCGCCCAAATTTTCTGAAAGATCGCGCCAAGACGATAAAGTTGAGACTTCGCTGGCAGATAAGACCACGTGACTGCTTCACCGATTTCTCTTCTTTTCACCCAAAAAGCAACGACGAAAACACGGCGGAAGATGAGAATCTGAACCAGCTGAGGATGTGGCCAACGTTACGAGGTCACAAAGTACATTAGTGTACGCCACGAAACCCCAATCAGGAGCAGCCGCTGGCAGCGTGGGACAGCGAACCACTGGCGGAGACCCAATGGCCTGCCCCAACGGATGGCTGATGATACCCCTACGACCGCGCAGTGTTTCCAAAACACGTCGACTCTTATGGAGTCATTGGATTTTCCTTTGAAAACACTAGAGCAAGCTACTTGAGTACTCTGCTCAATGGGCATTCTTGGGTTTAGCCATAATATACTCTACGCTTCTATATCATGGACATTGCCTGCTGTAATGCTGCATCAGAATAACTCAATTTATGGGCTTTCAAATTATAGCCACTGTCTTGGGGCCATACATCCTAAGAAGTTAAGAGCGACAATAATAAAACCTATTGTCCTCTCTCTACCCTATATGTATTGTTGATATAGGTTACTATTACTTAATAATGCCTTGTGGTATGAAGCAGGATAATTCATTTAGATACATTATCTAGATATTCTATAATTCCTTTAGTCCTATATCTTACTATAACTCCCTTTATTCACTTGTACCATATGAGTGACTCTCCACTAGTCCTCTTCATCCTTTTATTTCTCCTTCCGTGAAAATAGAAGTTGCTCTTTTATAAGGTGCGCTTCTATAGTCGAAAACCCCCTACTCAAGGGATCATGAGCCTATCCTAGATCTTTCTCTTCCACATCATCCCCTGTCCTTTTCTATGCTTCTATCTTCCCCTTCTATCAAAAAGCCCTTGTCCCACTTTCTTTACTGTCTTGACTTTATTTATGCTGAGTCAGCATGTCACTTCCCATCTGGGACTAGTATCTTCACTTTCAACTTTTCTGCTGTGAAAATTTTTCACGTGATGAAAACTTTCCATCACGTGGTCAGAGGTTCAGTTGAGCTTTCGGATTATCAGAAACTCCGGCTATCACACCTGAAAGGGCAGTTGAAGGCTCATTCACAGCTATAAAGAGAGTAAGTCATCTTCTTTTTCTTCTTCCTCCTTTCCTGCATCTTTGTTCAGAGTCTGGAGGGGAGGTCAGGCAAAGGCAACTTTGCCTGGCCGAGGGTGGGTGGGTGGATAGAGGGAGAGGAAGACGAAGCGGTTCTCCCGATTCTTCTCCCTCGAGCCATGGCCATTCTTTACGCCTTAACGGGCGGTAATTATCGCCTTTATCGTTACTATTCCAGTTACATACGATTCCCTTGAGTGGGTGGGCTCTACTATACCCCCATTATGGGTTAAAGGACATGTATGACTCGCGTCAGCCGACTATATATACCCCCCTATGTTTCCTATAACCCCTCTCCCTTTAGCAGGGCGAGTCCAACTTCCCCCCAATCATGACCAAAATCGCGTCTTGTGTGTTTTCTAATTATGTGGCTGGTTTACAGAATATTATCTGACCATTCTATAGGTCAGAGGATAAAGTCCTCTAGAAACAGCAGTTCAACCTGCTGTTAGGCCAAAGATGGGGGCAAAGGGGAAGCGCCAGTCCATCTCCAGGAGCCTGTGGAGGAGGAATAAGCAGGAGAAGGCGCGTCGGGTCGAGGAGGCCCTGGAGATGGAGGGCGTGGAACCTGCCAAAGAGGGGTTGGGGGTCTTGAAGACCAACGAGGCTGAGTCTCTTTGTGCGGCTTTTGAGCGGCCCGGGATGGTTTTTGGCGGCCTAGAGAAGCCCGCTGAGGCACCACGCCAGCCAGCCATGGATAAGGAGAATCTGCGGCCAAACAAGGGGAACCGGGCTCCTCTGCCGGTTCCCTATTCTTCCTTTCCTGGTGGTGGCGGAGGTGGCCTTCACCGTCATTCTCTCGATATCTCGCGGCCCTACCATGTCGACCACCATGTTCCATGTTTTCCTACCTCTGGCCAGCATTCACTCACACAGCAGGGCACGCCATTTAGCCAGAGAATTTCTCGCTTGGAACATCCCTCCCTTCCTAACAGCTACAGTCCAAGCGAGGATCCTACAAATACACCATTCCGTAGCTGCCATCTTCTCCCTCCTTTCTCTCCTCACTTGTCGACCACACGCAGCCATCACCGAGTCATTTCCACGGATCACGGACATTCATACAGCTTGAATAAAATACAGGAAGTGTCGACTCCCTCTCACCAGTCGAATGCACCAGAAATGCATTCCGGCATCAGCCTCACTTTTTATTCTTGCTCTGGTGCCTTCGCCTCCATCTCTCACTCTGTTCATAGAATCATTGCATCGAGAAACCAGCGTTTATCCTCTGTTCTTCTCCAGCTTGAGGATAGACAGTCTGCCCAGATCTACATCTCGGCTGGAAGAGCTTTCACCTACCCGTCTGCGTTTGTCTCGGCTCTGCTTCACTTCTATGAACAGCCCCTGGTCAGCCAAGATCAGTTATTCTTTCACATACCCCTTTGCGTGAGCCAGCCGGTCCAGCATCAGCTTTGCAACGATGTTGTAGCTTCGGCTACAAGTATTTCGCGGATGAACTTTGTCCTATGTTTTGCAACAGCCGGTGTATTTTTTATGGAAAGCCAGATCGTGGAACACGCTTTAAGTCTGCTTTCTGGTGTATTATCTTGGGAGAACCTGGACACAGCGTTGTCATTTGGAACATGTCCAATACCCTTCGAGCTCACCGTCATCGACCAGGATACCCAGAACAACTCACTTGGAAATGATTCGATTAACTCGAAAGACAGCGACGGCTCAACAACCTCATGCGAAGTCTCTCAAGATACCACCACTCTTACAGCCTTAGCTAGAAGAGTCCTGAACATTTCACTCCGTTTCATCGTGGACAATATCCCGATAGGATTCAAGTTCGAGAGACCCAGCTGCTCATCTACATCATCTCTCCACCACACTGGCGATCCAACCAATATATCCCTGCTTTTTGTCTCTCTCCCCTTTAACCAATTACGCAAAGTATTCAAGTACATGCGTTTTCAGGGAAAACTTACTGAAGAACTAGTTGTCGAAGTTATTCAGGAACGTGAAGCACACAGAATGCAGATGCTAAGAAAACTTGCTGGAAAAGGCCCATTACCTAGCCAACTTGATTCCGAACACGAGGTACTTGGATGGGAAGAACAAGCTTTATTCAAAGCAGAGCAGCCCTTGGGTGCTATTATAGGCCGTGGCTGGACTGGTTCAGAGATTCGTGCTGCGCTGCTTGCCTCTTCCCGTTTAAGACGATCGAAGAGCCTTTGAAGTTGACCTGTTACAAATACCTCTTTATTTTTTTATATGCTCTCCAACTGTTCACGAAGTACGACGAGGAATAACTCTTCGTGCTGCTTACAGGCTGGGAGCAGTACTGCTGCTATAATGTTTCTTCACTCTCGATCCTCAAAGAATTTACATTTAGAGTTCTGTCCACTATCCATTTCCTCCTGGATTCTTGTTTCCAATAAGATATTCCAGCTGCAGTTATCGTATTGTGCGTCTTTGGTATGATTTCGTTGTAATTGTAACTCTCCAGGCTAAGAACAAATAGAGACTACGATATCAGACTAAGCAAGCAAGGAAGCTATATGGAACATTCTAGATTTAAAGGGGTCTCGTTAGTCAGAGGGGAATAAAGGGGGGTATTTGACATAGTGGCTAGACAGGCAATCGGTTTCGGATAACAAGAATCTTAAAGCCTGAAATATAAATTAAGAAAGGGGAAAGGGAAAAACGAACAAACGGACACGTCGTACATCAAATGGATAGAAAGGTAAAAGGTATAAGTAAAACATGTACACTAGAAGAAGAATGAAATTTTGTACACAGATTTTTGAAGAAAAGCCTAGGTTGATCTGCCCGAAGGTGTCATGGAGTTAGTCTGGAGGCCATTGAAAGTATTGGAGGCTGAGGAAATGACGGCTGAATGTTACAAAATAGAGGTATTATAGCGAGGGTAAGTTGAAAGATAGATCTTCACAGTAGACCCTCGACTCGGTTATGTCTTGGGGGAGGTGGTAAGGCTGGCTGGTTCCCATTCATTAAATGATGCCTAGCCTTAGCGTTAAGGTTCCCTCCTTCGCTTGAAATCTTTCTGAGTCTCTGCCGAGCCCGAGGACGTTTCTCATCGTCTGAAAACGTGCTGTGTTCCTCTGATCTCCGAGATGAATTAGGGTGATTCTGGTTGTGATGCTTAGGACTGTGGTGATGATATTGATCAGATCTCTCAGAAGGTGAGGATCCCTTGAATGCGCCAAGGATGTTGTGTGTGGTTGTCTGTCGCCTTCTCCTGGGGTTCATCGGAGGAATTGGAGGTGTAGGAGCTCCGTTGGCGAGGCTAGCTCCTGCAGGCAATCCAACGGTGGGAACATTTGATGTAGTTGAAACGAAAGTAGGCTCGGATATTTGGGACTTGTCTACCACTCTCTTATGGGAACCTAGGCTCTGTTGTGTGGCAACGGAGCCAGGAACAGGAGGGTTTCGCTGTGGGAGGGGGTATTGCATAGGGGGTCCCCCATATCCTCCCGCAGCTGGGGTAGATGATGCGGATGAGGTTTCAAGTATAGGAGGAGTAGCATTAGCTGAGTAGGGGTGGGAGTTCGGGGAAGGAGAAGGTCTCGACGAATGCGTCATAGCAGGATGCTGAAGCGTAGGACTTGGCCCAGGGAGAGATTGGAGGTCAATGTAGTTTGGAGCCACTGATCGAGAGTTACTCCTGTATCTACCTGT